TTTTTTCACTGTACTAGACTCATATCGGGCTGTATCGGAGGTGTACTGGGGGGTGTATTAGGCGTATTGGTAGCATATCAACTGATATGCTATGAAAAAGAGATATGAGCGAAAAACGAAAAAAAAAGGGAAAGAAAGCTTCTTTCCCTTGAAACAAGCCTTTTTTCACCCCAAAATGACTCCAAAACTTCAATCTCATTCATAAAGTGCTAGGCAAGGTTCAAAGTATCAATATGGCATATCGCCTTGTATCGTTGCTTTTTTGTGTTTTTTTTATTTTTATTTTTTTTTAAACCAGTTTAGAGGGGTCGATTTAAGGCCCAGCTACCCTCTGAACCACGGCCTGACCCAAAACACCTATTGAAGGGGCGTATTGGGAAGGCCCTGATACGATACGTACCGATACGGGCCGATACATATCGATATTTTGAACCTTGGTTCTAGGTATGCAAAAATAAAACACAAAAAAACACATGTGAATCATTAGTGTTTTTTGATTTTTTTTCAAGTTTTGAAAAAGATATTACAAAAATAGGTAAATTTTTCAATTTTTCATAATATCTTATGATTTTTTCCTTGAATGCTTGAAAATATTTAAATCTATTTTAATCTACATTAAATGTGTTCAAAATCACTTTTTTATGTGTTATGAGTAGATTTATGGAAATTTTATAAAGAGATTTGGAAAAAATATAAAATAACAAAAAAAATTCAAAACGTATTTTATATCTGCCTAGAAAGACTTATTATGTTTTAGATCCATAGATCATCTATAAAATTCATAGAGCAATTACAATTTCTTCTTCAATATATTTTTTTATTTTTATATTTTTAGAATTAAAAATAATTAATAATTAATTTGATCTAATCACAAGGATTGATTATAATATAGATCTATGGATGATCTATCATATCCATAGAGCAATTGAAATATCTTCTTCAATAATTATAAAAATTATTTTTGAAAATAATAATTATTTAATAAGAAATAATTATTAATTATATTTTCACTTAGAAATTGTGCAAATACATGTTTTATGCTTGGATAGGATTGTTGGGTTTTCCCATCCCTTAAAGCTTAAGAATTTTAATTTATAAATTATAGTTAAGCATAGGGTTTTGTAATGAAATTATAATTAACTACGATGTGCTTTTTTCATAAAACCATTAAAATATATTAATTTAATGTATGTACACCTCATTGAGGCCTTATATTTAGTGTTATTGATGCATTTTTATAATTTATTGAAGTATTTATAGTGTTTCCATGTATATCTATGTGTATCTTAATTTTTCTCCGAGATATGTATCCAAGATGTATCCTGATACTTCTCTTAAAATTGCCTTTTTGATACACTTAGCGTTTCTAATACTTTGAACCTTGATTACTAGTCGAGGTAAGTTAGGTGGGTTAGACCACCAATGCTCAAATGTAGAGTTCCAGAAAGATTCATGGAATGTAGATCAAGAGGCCAAGCCACTGCATTGTAGTCGAGTGTGCATTTGACACCAACTCCATTCACAGGGTGTCTCATCTATAGGATTCCAATTGTTCAAATAGTTAAAACCTTCATAAAGGTCATTCTTGAGTTCCACAAGGAGTTGCCCCCTCCAAATTTACTCCTTTAGAAACACATGAGACTAGAAGAGCTGCTACTAGTACACATTTAGTGAAGCCCACAAGGGTATCTCTAGGGGTGTAAACGGATTGAATTCGAATCGGATCAGGCAATATCCAAATTTCGAATCCGATTAGAAAATCTGATATCCGAATTCGATTCGATATCGGACGGATATTGAAAATTAATATCCGAATTCGACTCCGACTAAATATTTGAATATTTGATTCGATTCGAATGCGATTAATTAATTATTTTAGATAATTAATAAATATTTTATTGATATAAAGTATATAAATATATAAACTATTTATATAACTTAATTATTATATATAAATTATATAAAATATTTTATATATTATATATAAGAATTAAATAATCGATCGAATTCGGATATTTATCGAATCGAATCAGGTCATATCCGAATTTGAATCCAATTAACTATTCGATAAGAATAGGATATCCAAATTCGACCGATTGAATATTCGAATTATCTGAATTCGATTCGATTATCTTGAATATCGAATTCGAAATCGGATTTTTCCTTATGACTTCCAAGTCCTGAACATCCCAACAATGGGACTCATCAATTCATCAATTGAAGTACAAAATGGAGCCTGCAGAATCTGTACAATGAACCTGCACAAGGTCAGTTAATTCTTATGAACACCATGACAAACCTGCAGCAATTATTCACCAAAAGAAACAATGTTTCCCGGTTGGAAGCTTAATTATTTAAAAATTAAAAGACTCCAATCATCCATAAAAAAAATACAACAATTTACGTGGTTTGGCTTATAGTTATGTCCATAATAGCAAAAATAATTTGCTATTTTTTGGTAACATGATTTGGTACAAGGTTTTTGAACCGCCATTGACTCGGACGGTCGGACCATTCAACCTAGGAACCGTCCATGCAACTGGTTATGTTTTACCTCAAACCCAGTTTTTGGCCAAAAACCATTGAAAAAATCAACCCGTTGACCTGGGTGGTCGAATAGTCGACCCATCAACCCATTCAATGATTTTGACCGTTTTTTTATTTTTAATTATTTTTTTAATTTATTTGTCATAATGGTTTGTTCGTTCGAACCGGACAGTTCGACCATCAACCTAAAAACCGATGGCCAGAATAGTTCTATTTTCGGGTCATTTTTTAGAATGATGATTTAGTATTTATTTTGAAGATTGAAATTATAACCAGGTTAATAAAAAAATCCATTTATTACAATAATAATATAATAATATATGCTCTTTAATGTATTATATATTTTAAAGGGTAAACGTATGGAGGAAAAATCAATAATGGTAATATCAATTTGAATGGATAAAGCACTAAAGCTGTCATTGAAAAATCCAGATGGAACTGGTTGCTTTGTGTGTCATACTTTTTCTATAAGTTGATCAATTAATTAAACAACCATAGTTGAGATCACTCTGAATCATCTATGATCCTGGACAAGGGCCAATTACAATATGCCTTGTCAGGTTGATGTGTGCAACCCGTGTATTATGTTGCTGGTGTGGTGCATCATGATTGACCTAATATTACAATAACTGCTTGATGATTATTCTCACTAACAAAAGCTCTGCCCGCTCCCAACATATTTGGTCCTTTCTAACATCAACCTATTAATTCCACCAATTCCTCATCTGCTATAAAAATGACTTAGTTCGGCTAGTCTTTTTTATACCTTAATAAATTCCTTTAGTTTTTGTTGTCCTCCTTCGATAAAAGATTTGTTTGGTTTGATAGAACATAAGAGAGAAACATAGCTAAAGAATGCAATTTGGACGTCATAAACATTGCACTAAGACTTGATTTTGTTTAAGGGATGCAACTTGGGCAGGCCTCAGTCAATCCTACTCCGACCCAATTTGAGTTTTTACATGGATTGGGCTTGGACCAGAAAACTCAGGACTGGTTTAAACTTAGATTGGACTTGGGTTGAGGCCTCGAGTAGCCTGAGTGACTGAGTCCAACTCAATCCAACACGGGCCCAACTGCACAAGCCTAACTTAATCTGGCCCAACTCAACCCAATCCTAAGCCTGGCCTGAATTTTGTTGTGTTAAGTTTGATCGGGCCTTGGTTCGTAAACTTGGGCTTGACCTCAGGTTGGGCCAGAATTAACCCTAAACCTGACCCAACTCGCTCAAGTTGTACCCTTTTCCTTCCTTAGGTTGACATTCAACTTGATTACTTGCCCATCAGTAGAGGGCTCAGAAGGATGTGGAGGAGCTGAACTGAACTCAAGTTCTGTTAAACCTAGAATATGATTTATCAACTATGCAAACAATTACACAACACAACAAACTAATTCCATCAACCACTTGTCTATGATGAGAAACAAGGCATGGTTCAACTCAGCTCCCAAATTGACCGGCAATATACATGCATTAATAAATTTACTTGAAGATCATAGACAACTTATTTATTAGAACATAACCTGGAAATTCAAATAATACAAAGACTGAAATTCTCATGACTAACTAGATACCACCATTCATTGAATTGTTGGAGAATAGAAGTTTTTCCAATGATACACAGTTTGTGATCTCTGCAGGGATATTTCCAATTAGCCGGTTGGAGTTTAGGTTCAATTCAACCAGCTTAGAATGTTGTCTGCAAATCTGACGAGGTATATGCCCAGTTAAATAGTTCATAGACAAATCAAGCCTAGTCAAATTCCCTAAGCTGCCAAGCTCTCCTGGAATAGTGCCCGTAAGCTGGTTCCCGTAAAGATAGAATAAGCGTAGACCCTTTATCTTACTTAACTCTATTGGTATCTTTCCTGTCAATGAATTCTCTGAAAAATCTATCTCTGTTGCTATAGAAAGATTACCAATCTCCTGCGGAATTGTCCCACTCAATGCATTCTTGTAAAGAAACAATTTATCCAGAAATATCGGGTTTCCGAATACTGCACAGGTATTCCACCCACGAGATTGTTCTGGTATAGAGCAAGAATCTCCAGATTCGTATAATTCCCTAACTCCTTTGGAACTACCCCAGACAACCCATTAGTGTAAAGGAGGAGTTCTTTCATTTTTCCAAGCATTCCTAGCTCCTTGGGTATGTCGCCACTTAACTGGTTTTTGACAAGATCCAATATCTCCAGGCTCTCACAACCTTTAATTATCTCCACGGGTATGCTTCCAGATATCAGATTATCCCCCACTCGAAAAACTCTCAATCTCTTGAGGTTCCCAAGTGAACGAGGCAATGGGCCTGTGAGGTTGTTACTGAATGCAAGTAATTGAACCAGGGAAGACATATCACCCAACTCTACAGGTATTTCCCCTTCAAACTGGTTATTGTTTAAATCAAGAACCTGCAACTTCAAACAATTTCTAATCTCCCTGGGTATTCTCCCAGATAAATCATTGTATGATAAGTCGAGGTAAGTCAGGTGGACTAGACCACCAATGCTCGAATGTAGAGTTCCAGAAAGATTCATGGAATGTAGATCAAGAGACCAGACCACTAGTGCATTGTAGTCGAGTGTGCAATTGACACCCTTCCATTCACAGGGTGTCTCTTCTCTGGGATTCCAATTGCTCAAATGGTTAAAACCATCGTATAGGCCATTCTTGAGTTCCAGAAGGAGTTGCCCCTCCAAATTTAGCCCTTCAGAACCACATGAGACTGCTAGTAGAGCAGCTACCAGTACAAATCCAGTAAAGCCCACCAAGTTATCTCCCTCTGAACTCCAAGTCCTGAACACTCTATCCAACAACAGAACTCAGCAATTGATGAAGCACCAAATCTAGCCTGCAGGTTATATAAGTAAGTTAAGTTAGATTATAAATTAACAGGGTGACAAACCAATATGTTGTAGCTCGATCTATTCACCTAAAGAATCAGCACAATTGGAAGAGAACTCAAAACGTACTGAATTCTGAAAAATCCAGTCATCAACAAAAGTCGTTTTCGTTCACCAAAGGAAATGATATTTCCAAATTGGAAGAACAATACTCATGAACGAATTTAAAAATATATCAAAACCCATTAAAACCAAAAATAACCTTGAACTCATGCATTGCTAATGACTGCAGCGAAATACCTGTGTCTATAATCTATCAAAAGCAAAGTCAAACCATGAAGTCCACCAGATCCGATTGCTCCAGAAACCAAAATTATGAAATTCATTACCCACAACATGCAATAAATAATTAAACCCGGTTTCCCTCTTGCATTTTCAAGGGCTTAGTGCTGGGTATTAATAAATAATAAACAAATAAATCAAAGTTTAACAATTCATTCATCAGTTTATCATATCTTTGGGAAATGCCGGAGAAACTTGTATTAATGCAATAATGTTCAAAGAAATCTAAATAACGGGTGTAATTCATAGATTGGAGTCAAAAAGCTAGCTTTCCTAATAATAAACAACAACATTGGAGAATGGAGGAGGCAAAGCCACAAAGGTAACCGATGGGATAGCTTAATAATTCAGTTTAGTCAAAATTATTTGATAGCCCGCGATCTGGACACTCCGAGCTGGCAGGGGGCCACACTTCAAGCTGGCGACGGACGGTACCTGAGAAGAAGAAGAGGATGAAGGATTCCCGGGGAGTTCACCCGACGGAAATACTCCAATGCTTAAGTTAGAACTCTGAGAGAGAAAATTGCAGAGAAGATGAAGAAAGCTAGAGTGCAGATAGTGCAAATGCAATTACCTTTGTCCCTTGGGGTTGGGGCCTTCCTATACTGATGCCCTTTCAAATCTGGCATAACCGCCTCTGATTCTCTACTGCAGCAGTTATTGCCAGACTTGAGGTGGTGGGCGTAGGTAACCATTACAGGGTACGGCCCTGTTAGGCATGAGGCATTGCCAGAGTTGGGAGGCATGACGCTGCCTGGCAAGAGACGTGGGCGCAGCCTCCAGGTTCGGCAAGTACGATTGTTAGGCAGATTTTCCTGCAAGTCGCCAAGCTACCTTGTGCCGAGCTACTTGGGACCGAGCTACCTTGCACCGAGCTTCCTTGTACCGAGATGCTAGTGATGCGCCGGGGTGCCTCTGCTCGAGGCGGGCCTTTGAGGCAAGTACGGACAGGAGCACTAACAGTGCTTACCCGGAGTGTCTTCAGTTCGGGATGCTCCTTAACTATGGATCCTGGATCGGGGTGTTCCCTTCTTGGGGAGGAGCTCAGGGGCTCCTTAGGAGGAGCTCGGGACTCCTTACTTGGAGTGAGCTTGGGGTTCACCCCCCCTTGGAGGGGAGCTCGGGGTAACCTTGTAGCGAGTTGCTGCCCGTGCCGAGCTGTCAGGCTAGGATCCAGCGAGCTCATCACGCCGAGTTGCGACCAGGCTGTCATGCCCACGTGTCCCCCTGTTACGAAGTCGGGCCAAATCACCCTTCATCATTATTAATTATATATCCAGTGGCCATGTAATAAGCCACAGGTTGATGGAAAATGAGTTCTCTGTGCCACACTTTTGCACCCACAGTGAAGTTTTCCTCTTTAATTATATTATTATAATTATCTATTTTCTATAATATTCAATTAGTTGTTTATTTCTACGAAAGTGTTTTTCCTTCTTTTTTTATGCACTGAGAATCCATTATTTATAATCTTTATTAGATCCTTTTTCTAGCTCTTACTGGGCCATTGACAATTCATTTGACTTGGTGTAGACTGGATGATCAAGTAGCAAATACTTCAACATTCCTATTATCATTTATTGCACACAATAGGATGTTGTTCAAGCTCCATAGGAGAGTTTCCAAAAGCGGTGTTGGTTGAGATCCAGGGAGAGGTGTTTATGGTAAGAACGGCGGTAGAGGGCCCGGAAATGCTGGAAGCGAAAGGAATATGGTCGTACAAAATGGTCGTTGAACCGAAATGGTTGGATTCAGGGCAGGTAACGAGGCCGGGAATGGAGGAAGACGGTAGGGAGGCAGAGGACCATGGTGAAGTGGTGGGAGGTCTGAAAAAGGGAGAATTCATGGTTCACTGTCTCGGCGGCGGCGAAGACTTCAACGGCAGAGTGAGAACCGATGAGTAGTAAAACAGCCATCAGAACCGAGGATACGCAGAGTTACCGGAGACGGTGAAGGTCAGGGTTCAGGTGGTGGCGGGGAAGAGAAGTTGGCTTCGGATGAACTAGCATTGGTTGGACTCCTGTATTTCGGGATGGGTTGGACACGTGGATAAGTGGGCCTGAGCCCAAAAAGCAGTGTGATCTTTGGAAAGAAAATCAGGTCTTGTTCCAGTGTCTATCTCGGATATGGGGAATATCTGAGGTAAGTAGGAATAAGCTATCAACAACACTACTGAGAAACTTAAAAAATTTAATTTTGGCCAAAGGAGAGGTTTGTAGCATTTTTAATTAAAATCAAACATTTATCAGAAGCCCAAACTAACGTTTAAGGTATTGATATGTATCGGCCCATTGATACATATCGTTTTGGGACCTTTCCGATATGCCCTTACAGTGGGTTTATCGGGGGTCTGACTGGTTCAGAAGGTGGAGGAGTCCTAAACTGACCCCTTGAATCAGTTTTGAAAAAAAAAATGAAAAAAAATAAAAAGAAGGTATTGACATCGCCCGATACACCCCTACCGGCGTAACGGATATATTGATATTTTGAACCTTGGACCAAACTACTTCTTGCATCAATTTTTGTTTTCCATAATCCAAAGCTCAAAAATAGAAGCTTTTCCAAACGGAGACCAAGTTAATACTACAAGTAGTTGAACATGGGGTTAACTTAAAACAACATCTATACTAATTTACAGTAAAGTCTTCTGTACGATGCATGAAAGTAAAGGGTCCATGCCCCATATCTCTATGTGAAAACTAGTCTACATTAGCTATAACGTAGAAGCCAGAAGTCAATAATCATACAGAATCTTACAAAAGCAAAATATTAAAATGCTAATCCATGCATCTCCCAAACTAACCGGCCATACATTTTATTAAATCTACTAACAAGTCCATGAAAATCATGGAGAAATCATGTAGAACATAACCCAGAAATATATTTGAACAATACAAAGATTCAAACTTAAATTGTTGGAGAGTAGAAGCCTTTTCAATGATACGCAGAATGTGAGCTTGGTAGCTAGGGATATTTCCAATCAGCAAGTTTGACTTTACAACCAGCTTAGAATGTTGTCTGCAAATCTGACGAGGTATATGTTTAGTTAAATAATTCTCAGACAAATCAAGCCCAAGTCAAATTCTAGTATCTAAGCTGCCAAGCTCTCCTGGAGGATGGAGTAAGCGTAAACCCTTTTACATTACTAAAACTTTTTGGGTATCATTCTTATCAATGAGTTATTTGAAAAGTCTACCTCTGTAGACTGTAGCGATAGAAAGATCATCCATCTCCTGCGGAATGGTCCCGTTCAATGCATTTGAGAGGACCAGATTCGTATACGAATCTCCTTGAAGCTTGAGACTTATGTTCAATCTGAAAAAAGCTTAAGTTTCACACATCAAAGTTATGAGGCTTAAGCTCGAGGCAGGCAAAATCTGTACGCCTCACGCCCCAAGGCTTAACCTTTTAAAACAATTGTTCCTTAAATTTTCCAAGCATTGCTAGCTGCTTGGGTATTTTTCCACTTAACTGGTTATGGGTAATACCCAAAACTTGTAGGCTTTCACACCCTTTAATTATCTCCACGGCTATGCTTTCAGATATCAGATTAAACCCCGCTCCAAAAATTCTCAATCTTTTGCTTTCAGGACATCTGTCTCTTCATCAAGATTCTGTTTTAGATCACACTTGGATCTACTCATTTAACTTTCAGTGAATTTTAACACTTGGCCCACTTAAGCCCAACAGTTGTAATTTTGAAAGATAAGAAAATACAAAATTGGAAGAACCAGCAATATTAGCATATTTTTCATAAATCTAGAGGTGTAAATTGGGTCGTGCTGCCCGTGGCCTAGCATGACAGTCTGTGGGCTGTGCCAGGCCCGGCATGATCGTGTGGGTCGTTCTGGACCTAGTGTGTTAGGTCTGTGGGTCGGGACGGGCCGGTTCGACACAGCCCATATATATTATTTATATATATTTATATATAATATATAATATATTATATAAATTATAATTATATAATAATATATAGTATATAATATATTAATAAAATAAACAATTGTTTTCAATTTTATTATATTAATTTATTTAACTATTATATATAAGCAATTGTATATATCAAAATTCATATAAAATTAAAAATTTTAAGTTTTTTTTCATTTTTTAAATAAATAGCTTTCGCCTGGTCCATGGCCCGGTCTGGCCCAAGACTTAGTCCATGGATCGGGGCCCAGCCCACAACAGGCTTGGGCCGTGGTCCATGTAGGGCCGATCCCCCCAAGTTTTCCCAAGGGAAGGTGGCACGACATGGCACGGTCCGCACAGTGCAGGCCACCCACAGGCCGTGCCATGCCAGCCTGGCACAGCCCATTTTGCACCTCTACATAAATTTATTCTGTCATACATTAATAACATAGACTACTCTTTACTAAAATAAAAAGAAATGACAACCTAATGTTAAGATATCGTAGAATTATTAGCTAAGGACTTGATTAGAGGTGGTAAGAAATGGCTCAAACGCCAATAGTTTAACAATGGATATGACATTAAACAGAATGGACTGGTAAAACATTATCTGATGATAATGATTAATTGATTAATGAAAACGAACTCACAGTATATTTAGAATGAGGACAGAAAGGCGATCAAGGCCTCTAGGGACTGATCGGAAGAACCTCCCTTCTCAAGACTAAGGTCTACTTGCTCTTTCAATTTCAAAGCCCTCATCCTCATCTCCTCCCCTACTTTGCCCACCATCAATCTTCTTATGCCACTCTCTATTGCTCCTCTCTCCAATTCATTCTCCAATTGCACCCCTACCCTCCATACATCGCTCACATATCTTGCATTCACCCTCTGGTCTCCAAAATAAGGCCGACAGAGCATTGGGACCCCTTCACAAATACTCTCCAACGTCGAATTCCATCCATTATGGGTCCAGAATCCACCCACCGCAGGATGGGCCAGCACTTCATCTTGGGGAGCCCATTTGACAATGCAACCTCTTCCACTTACCGTCTCAAGGAAATCATGGGGCAGTGCGTCTATCCATTCTGAACCACGGACTGACCCGGGTCGAACCACCCACAAGAAGGGGCAGTTGCTGTTGGCCAATCCCCAAGCAACCTCCACAAATTCGGTTTCAGTCATGGCAGCTATGCTCCCATAGCTCACGTAGATGACGGACTTGGGTGCTTGTTTGTCTAGCCAAGCAATGCAACTACGGTCCTGTGCCAATAAGCTGCTTGAAGAGGATGAACAGTACTTCTGGAAGGGGCCTATAGGATACATGGGAATCCCTAATTCTTGTCGGAGTGCAGTCAGTGATTCATGCTCGAGGTGTTCTAAGGAGTTCCAGATGATTCCCGAAGAGGACTTTGCTTGATTGGTTGATTTATCCATCAATTCATACAGCGTCTCAGCGTTTTGCGTGTCGACCACAGGGATGTCCTTGACCCTGAGAGGTGGAAGATCCGGCAACGGTGCCTCCAGTTCGGCATCTGAAAAACAGAACGGTGAAGTTCGCGCCTATCAGGTGGCTACAGCCTACGGTAAGGGTGTGTTTGGTTTTATAGAAAATAAGAGAGGTTGGTAAGTTAACAAAACCAAATAAAGCATCTGATGGTGCAATATGCTGCTGGAAAGACACGATATCAAAATGATTTTAGCCAATCAATCCCCCAGTTGTAGTCCTTTTTTATAATTTATATTCAGAAATTTGCCATTACCTATTTTCGTTTATGTTGGGTTTGGGTCCAGCCCATATGGGGGCCCACCCCCACCTTTTTCATGCTCCCAAAAAGGAACCTTCTTTTGATTTAGTGTTTATATTTCGTAATCATCAAAGTGAGAAAAGGGAGTAGAAAAACAGAGGAAAGAATTGGGGGTTTTTCTAGGTTTTGAGTTTTGTGAATAAGAAAAGACAGCTGGTTTCTATTCCATTTAAGACCAAGTTTGGATGTGTTTTCAAGTCCATTCTTGATGAGAATAAGTGTTGTTTAAGGAGTCAAAAATCTCACTCTAGTTCAGATTGGTTGTTCCTTCCTTTCTTCTCAGTTTCATATTTACAATAACTTGGTGAGATTCAAACCTTTGTTTTTGTTGAATCCACTTTGCATTTGGTGATGTTAATGCTGTACTTGTGAGCCAAGGATATTTCCTTGATGTTTGTAAACCTCTAATTGCATTAGATATGACTGTTGTACCTAGCAAAAGACTTTTACGGACCATATGTCCCATGGTTTTTCCCCGATTTTGGAGTTTACCATGTAAAAGTTCTGGTGTGCTACTGTCTGGTGACTGTTATTTGTATTTTCCGTTATTTGGCTGAATTGTTTATCTGTTGTCATTGTTGTTGACAAACCCATTTTAACACACAAACTTAAGGGAAAGTTTATTGCTGTCCTGAAATTGTTTTTCATACTCATTTTTGTTACTGTAGTGTATCTTCTCCAGTAGTTTACTCTTGTATTTTATTGCATGGTTCAAAGTATGAAAATGCACAAAAAAATTGCACATCGAGTATTTTAAATAGACAAGAACCTTAGATAAAAAAAATCTATATCTATATTACCTATAAAAGAACGAATGCCCATTATTTCTGGAATTTTTATTAGACATTTTTTACCCCCCTTTCCAAGTATACAACAGGCATAAAGAAGACATGTATGTCCTTTGTTCTCCCTTCAAAAACTGTCCACTTATAACCATTCAAGAACAAAAAAAATTTCTTGACTTAGTCGCTCCTCGTATAAACTATGTCAGATTTAGTTCTGCTTTTTGGTATTGTAAATACTAACAACAGATTCTAATTCTTGTCTTCGTTCATTAATTCTTTTTTTTTCGATGATTGTTTTGGACTACTCATTTCAGATTTATTTATATAGATCTCCAGATTGTTGCATTTTTTATTCAAGTACTATTGATATTCTAGCTTATGCCTTCAGATCTCCATTCTAATTGTATCATTGCTGCATTTTACACTTGTTACTTCAATGTCATTTGAACTCTAGACTTGCTGCGTTTTCACTTTTTGGCTACCAGGCTTTTATTTTTACTTCCTCTCTTTCTCTTAATTTCAATTTTATAGTGCTTTTTTCCGACTTTCCTCTACACACATACACACCGAATCTAACTTAACTACACTGGTTTTTCTTCCTGAATAATAAAGTAATTATTTAGCTTAATTTTTGATACAAAATAATCTCATTATCATAAGACCCCTCTAAAATATAACTTAATGTATAATATACAAAATATTATATATAGGAAAAATTTGTGTTTTCAACCTATCGTTGACCTGACCAGTTAAATCATTCGAACTATCATTTGACTATGATTCTGGATCCAGTAGGACCGGTGCTACTAAAACCTGAAAACGGGTCAAAAATAGTCCAACCCAAGTAGTTGGACCGTTGATCCATTTGACCTAGTGAATGTGACTTGGGTTGCAATGTTGCATACAATGTGTAATGCAAATTTCAGGAGGTCATAACTTTGTATTTCGATGTTCAATTAAGGTGATCTTTTTTTTTATTTTTATTTTGGGTAGCTCTCGTAGATGCCCTCACCGCTATCTTTGTAATAAAAAAAAACCCTTTTTTGGCTTTAAATCATAATTTACATTTTTTGAAAATATAAAAAATAAAAACTGAATTAAAAAATATAAATTATATATACAATAATGCAAATATTATATGTAGAATACAAGTATATATTATTTAGTGATAAAGTACATATTTATGCCTAAATGGGTTCGACTATGATATTAGAAAGATATGACATTCAAAATATTTCTGACCAATCAAGTGAAATCATAAACGTGGTAGCCAATCGGGTGTTATTTATCAAAGGGCCCATGCAAGCATGGGATGGGGCTCCCCTCCTTGTCCCTCCCTAGGTTTGGGGAATTATATGCAAACCACATCCCTAATTTGTGGCAAAAATATTTTTCCTATCCCCACCCCATCTCTATCCCATCCCCCTTTAAGATTTGAGAAAATTTACCCCATTCGAGATAAGGGAATTATATGCAAACTCTATCCCTAATAAGCCACCTTATTAGGACTCGTTTGGTTTGTGAAAAGGAATTAGAATCCATTTTCCATTTTTGGTGGAATAATATTCTCCCATTTGAGGGAATAATCATTTCCTCTCCCTCTCTTGGGAATGAGGTTCAAATTTTCAATTGAACCAAACAAGTCATGAGAATAAACAATTCTCATTCCAATTCCGATTTGAATTAGGACAACAAACCAAACAAATCCTTCTTTTGATAGTTAGGGTTGCACATGGGTTGACTATAAACCCGGCCCAACTTGCACCCCTACTAGCAGCCTAGCACAGCAGAACCAACCTTACCACCTCAAACAAGTCATGAGAAATGGGATCTCGATTCTAGAGTAAAACTGGTCCGGACCGAGATGCTGAAATGAAAACGAATTATAATTATTAATGTTTTCACTGGCTAAGAACTTGAAATTTTGCTGCATCAATTTGAAACCCTAATCGAATGGAGCTTTGTCTCTCTAACAGAAAGTTTTGGTGGAGGTTTCCCCCAATTTCCTTATTTGTCATCATGATAGCATCGTTTCCGTCTGCGTTTTTTTTTTCCTTTTCCTTGAGTTTTCTGTAAGCATGTGTGTTCAATCTGAATCTGAAGGTGTTTTTGATTCACTGATCTGAAATTTTCCCTTCTGTTCAAGAATTCTCAAAAAAAATAAATAAATAAATAAATCCAAGTTCTGATCAGAGCCTAGAACGTACCTGCTGCAATTGGAATGAAACCTTTCTGCCTCAAGATCGGGAAGGCGGCAAAGGCACGAAAGGCCGAGACGCCACTGGTCCGTAATACAATTCTGGGAAGCTTAAGACTGTCGGCCACAGATTGAGTAAAGTGCATGATCACATCAGAGATTAAGCAAGCAATCGGCTCTTCTGACTGATCAGACAACAACCGAGCCAAACGCTCCCGAAATGGCTCCACGCAGCTGACATTAAGGGCTGCTGAAAGCGCTACAACATCTTCCATGGAAGCTTGAGCGTCTGATAAGCCATCGGATATGGGGATGAAGGTGAAGTGTGGGTAATTGGAGGAGTTGGGAGAGTTGAAGTGAGTGTGGACGAAGGTGATGGAGAAGCCTCTGGAGTGGAGGATGGTGGCTAGCTGAAGCATGGGATTTATGTGGCCTTGCAAGGGCAATGTAAAGAGAACCAAACGAACCCCCCTTTTCTCTCCCACTTCAACCTTTCTCTCACTCTCCATCACTTTTTCTTCTTCAGATTTACTATGGGTATTTGACAAAGGCCTCCTGTACTCGAGTTCAAATCAGATAACTAAGACGTTGTAAGCACCTCAAATGAACACTTAAAATTTTTTTTGACACTGATCCTTTAAAATACTTTCAACCTCTTACATTAACCATCCATCCAAAAAGATTCCATTCTAACAAATTTTATTCCCCATACTATTTCTTATAATAATTATTCGGACAATTTTACCCCTCGCAATCAAGTTTCAGTGGCATGGGATTCTTCTTAGCGAAGCCAGCTACAACGACGACGGTGATCACTTGGGCAGAGGCTAGGCGAAACTTGTTCAATGGGAAACAAGTTTTTTATAAATGGTTCCTGTTCAGATCGGTACATAGATGATTCACAAACCAGCAAGGGCTAAGGTGACAATTGACAAATGTTTGACACAAATCCCAAATTGCAGGAAAAAAGAAATTGATTGACCATTCTGAATGGTGATCTTTCTCGGTGAAATTTGAAAACCTGACCGTATGTTTCAAAATTCCAACAACTGTTTACAAAAATGACATTCAACAACCTGACCTTATGTGTTTCTATGTCGGATTGGGTGATATTCCAACTTGTATCGTATGTTCATGAAAATAAACAAAACAAAGGGTCTAATTGAGCCATAAGTTCTTCCATCATTCCAGCCCAATATAATGAATATTAATGGCTACAACTTCATTCAAATTCAATAACCTTGTCCAAATTTTGATCAACTCTATAGGATGTTTCTTGCAAAATTGGAGAAAAACTAATGTTAGGGAATGATTATATTTTCATATAAATCCAACAAACATGATCTACTGAATCAGCATATGATTTAGTGACACATTAAACCTGATTATCAAAGGAGTTGAATAACAAGTGGTTTGAATATATAACCTCCCTATTTAAGAAACTTCAAAACATCAGCCATGCATAGAACTGTTTTTGTATTACTTTGTTCATCAGTAAGTAAATTGATCAGTTGATGATCATACCAATATCAATTTTTGCTTGGGTTTTAGATGGTGCATCAACTTATAGCTTCAATGAGTTAGATACTATTCAATACCTCAATCTGGACATCTCAACTGATGCCCAAGTTTGCTATACATTGGGCTTGAGTGATGAGGTTTGAATACCAAGGACTTTTACACTGATTGTAAAGTCATGCTTAAGACAGTCAACATTCCATTAATGTAGGGTGGGCAGCCCAACTCATTCTGGACTGGGAGGCCCAGCCCACGAATGCCAGATTCAGGAACGCAACTCGCCACAGCAGGGGCTACCCTGCACCCCTCGTACAGAACCAATCGCAGAGCGCCCACACGTCCTCGCAAAGCTCGCTGACTACCCTTGTACAGCTCCCATCTCAGGCATTCATCTCCACCAACCTCTAGCCGCCTCAAGTATAAATAGGGGCTACCCCCCTCTAGGTGAGAGATCCTAATCCTAAATCTGTCTACGAGCAGCCTCCTTGGAGCCCTCATCTGTACCTAATTCCCCTCTTCGTACCCTCGTACTGACTTGACCGTTGGAGTCTCTACCTCGAGTTCTCACCCGAGGCCTCTAACATCCTCTACCTTGTAGCACTTCAGTTACTAGCCCTTGGCTTCTACTGAACTCGGTACACGACCAACCTCAGTACTTCGTCTCCGAGTCCTCGAAGCCTTTAGCCCAACTCCAGAGCCCAGGGGCGAAATTACTTTGCTGTCCTCGGCCAACCCGAGCATCAACAATACGTTGCTAAGAGAATCCCCTAACGAACTTTAACAAACTAAGAAGTCCCTAAGCTACAATCACCATGGTACGAAGAGCCAAGAACACCCAGAACCTTGTCACTAGCGAACAATTCTAGGTCGTGCTTAACCTTCTAGAGTATTTAACTCAACGAGTCGAGCAGAGCTACCCTTAAGCAGGAGGTCCTCCCCAAGGAGACCGCCTCGCCGGGGAATCAACACAATCAGGACGACATGGGTTCACAAACCAGCCAGCCCTCAACCCCGGCCACGTGCCACAGATCGACCCCTCCAAGTCTGGCAACAGTCCTAGCCGACAAGTCAAGGAAGGCCGAACTGACACCTCGACCGGACAGAGAAACTCTATGGGGAGAATGGATGCCTTCTCCCCCAACATCATCGCCGAGCCATTACCCCCAAACTTCAAAGCTCCCACCTTGGAGATGTACGAAGGGAACACAGACCCGGACGATCACCTACAAAGCTTCAAGGCACTCATGATTCTATATAGATACTCCAACACCTTGACATGCCGAACTTTCTACGCAACCTTCAAGGGAGCTGCTCGACGGTGGTTCTCAAGCCTCCCACGTTGGCCCATTAACTCATGGGAGCAGTTCTCTACCCTGTTTCTCGCCCGCTTCATCAGCAGCTAACGCTCCCAGACGAGTGTTGTCTCGCTAATGACAGTCAAGAACAAGCGAGGAGAAAGTTTATGGTTGTACATTGACCGCTTCAAGAAGGAAGAGCTCGAGGTCCGTGACCTCGACCCCATGGTTTTCATGCACGCCGCCATCAGCGGACTTCTCCCTTGCTCGGCCCTCAAGTGGTCAATCGCCTAAAGCTAGCCGAAGATGAAACTTGAGTTCCTTGAGAGGACCCAGAAGTACATTGCAGTTGAAGAGGCTTCGGCTGGGGATGTTCAAGAAAGGGGCACCGAGCACCGGGACGGAGACCTAGAAAAGAAGAGAAAGAATGGAAACAACGGTCGCAACAAAGGCAACAACAACAACAGCAGCAAGAAGCCACTGGCCTCGGCCCTGGCTTACAACCAGTACATGCCACTCAACTCCACCCGCAAGCAAATTCTAATGTAGATCGGGGAGGAGAAATTCATGAAGTGGCCTGAGAAGTTGAAGAAGAATCCCTGAAGGGGGAACCCAAAGAAGTACTGCAAATTCCACCGAGGCATTAGCCACGACAACGAGGACTTCTATGACCTCAAGAATGAAATATAGTCCCTCGTACGCCGAGGCCACCTCAAGCAGTACGTTGGAGGTGAGGCTGGTGCCTTGTCCTCTCAGCAGCAGTAGCAGCATTAGCAAATAGTCAGCATCATTGACATCATAGTCGGAGGCACGACCTCAGGAGGAACCTTGGCCTTGGCTTGCAAAGCCTATGCCAGGAAATTAAACATCCAGGGGTCGGCCCCCAAGAAGCAAAAGCAGGAAGAATTCCTCTCCTTCACGAATGAGGATTTGAAGGGGGTAGTAGTCCCCCACGCAACGCTTTGGTGGTTTCGGCCGTCATAGCGAACTTCGTAGTCAAGAGGATTCTCGTTGATAGCGGCTCCTCGGCCGACATCCTCTTCTACGAAGCATTCGGGAAGATGAAGGTAGTGCCGGAGCGCCTTCAGCCAACAGATGTCCCACTAGTTGGCTTCTCTAGTAATGTTGTCAAACTAGAGGGCAAGATCACCCTACCAGTCATAGTAGGAACGAAGCCCAAACAGGTGACAAGGATGACAGAGTTCCTAGTTGTAAGGATCGACTCACTCTATAATGCAATCATGGGAAGACCAACCCTTAATGCACTCCGGGCAACCATCTCCTCCTACCACCTTGCTCTCAAGTTCCCCACCGAGCACGGCATCGGAGTCGTTTGTGGGGGCCAACATGTCACCCGCCAGTGTTATGTGGCAGCACTGAAGGGCAAGAATAAAAAAGCTCTACAACTAGAGCGCCTTGACCTCATGGAGGAACCAGCGAGCCGAGGCCAGTCGTCCGAGGACCTCACCTCAATCCCCTTAGACGAGAACGAGCCCGAAAAAATTATCCGCGTCGAGTCCAATCTTTGCCTCGAGAGCCTATCTGAACTAGTAAGCTTCCTCAAACATAATGCCAACGTCTTTGCTTGGTCCGCCACTGACATGCCCGGAATTGACCCTTCAGTCATTACTCACAGGCTGAGCGTAGACCCGAGCTCTAGGCCAGTCCAGCAGAAGAAGAGGAACTTTGCACCGGAACGATGGAAGGCCATAGAAGAGGAAGTTGGGAAGCTACTTGACGCCAACTTCATCCGAGAGGTACACTACCCTAACTGGTTGTCAAATATGGTTATGGTAAAGAAAGCTAACAAGAAATAGCGGATCTGTATTGATTTCATAGACCTCATCCGAGCCTGCCCCAAGGACAGTTTTCCTTTGTCGAGGATAGACCACCTTGTTGACGCCACTATAGGTTAAGAATTACTCAGCTTCATGGATGCCTTCTCCGGATATAACCAAATAAAGATACACTCGGACGATGAGGAGAAGACCTCGTTCATCATTGAGCACAGCACATATTGCTACCTAAGTGATGCCCTTCGGCCTCAAAAATGCCAGGGCCACCTACCAATGCCTTGTTAACAAGGTGATCAAAGATTAAATGGGGAGGAACGTCAAAGCCTATGTGGATGGCACGGTAGTAAAAAGCCTAAAGGTCGAGACTCATATCTTGGACCTAGCCGAGACCTTTGACCTTGCGGAGGTACAACATGAAGCTCAACCCTAGCAAGTGTGCCTTCGGCGTCACATCCGCAAAATTTTTGGGCTTCGTCGTCACTCAAAGAGGCATTGAGGATAACCTTGAGAAGATACATGCCATACTGAATATAGAACCTCATCGAACGGTGAAAGAAACCTAGAGACTCACCGACCGGATAACAGCCCTCAATCGCTTCATGTTGAAATCAGCCGACTGTTGCCTACCCTTCTTCTGTGCCGTCAAGAAGCTGAAAATTTTCCAATGGATGGAAGAATGCCAACACACCTTCAACGAGCTCAAGGCGTATCTCACCTCACCTCCCCTCCTCGCCCGACCAACCGAGGGGGAGGGGATGAAGTGGTCAGTTCAGTCCTGATCAAGGAAGATGGCGTACAGAAACCAGTTTATTATGCCAGTAAGGTCCTCTACGACACTGAAATCAGGTATCCCGAGATAGAGAAATTGGCTTTTGCCCTCGTGGTTTCAGCTAGGAAGCGCAGGCCATACTTCTAAGCTCACTCAATAGTGATCCTAACGAACCAGCCCCTCAAGGCTGTCCTAGCCAAGCCCGAGACCTCGGGACGCCTGACAAAGTGGGT